TGTGAAGAAAACTTGAAATACTTACTGCTAAAGATAAGAGACTACAGCCTTTAGTATGGATTGCAGCTGAACATAAAGAAAACAAAAATCCTCACAAAGGGACAAATAAGAACATCATGATAAATAGAAAAAAGATTGAAATTGTCAAGGTTGTCATTTTTCTTGGTTCCACAATCAACACGCATGGAAGCAGCAGTCAAGAAATCAAACAACATATTGCATTGGGCAAATCTGCCACAAAATATCTCTTTAAAATGTTAAAAAGCAAAGATGTCACTTTGAGGGCAAAGGTGCGCCTGATCCAAGCCATGATATTTTCAAATGCTTCATCTGCCTGCAAAAAGTGGACAATGAATAATGAAGAGTGAAGAGGAATTAATGCCTTTTAATTTTGGTGGTGGTGAAGAATATTGAATATACCATGTACTGCCAGAAGAATAAACAAATCTATCTTGGAAGAAATACATCCAGAATGCCCTTTAGAAATGAGGATAGAGAGATTTCATCTCATGTACTTTGGATGTGTTTTCAGGAGATTCCAGTCCCTGGAGAAGGACGTTATGCTTGATAAAGTAGAGGGTCAGTGAAAAAGAGGGAGACCCTCCATGAGATAGAATGACACATTGGCTGCAATAATAGCCTCAAACAAGCAATGATTATGAGGCTGGCACAGGACTGGGCAGTGTTTCATTCTGTTGTATGCAGGGTCACTAGAAGTGGGTTCCAACAGCCGACCTTTTGGTTAGCAGCCAAGTGAATAACACTTGTGCCACCAAGGCATGCATGAGGAGTTTAGCATTATGCAACTGGGGGGCTGAAAAAATAAACTTTTTTAAATGGAAGAAACTAATTAATTGATCCCACTCTCAACATAACTGACTATTATCAATCTGCAAGAAATGGATGTTGCATTTGGCCAGAGACCTGCAGGAAGATGTCTAATAATAACCTTGGGCTGAATTCCAATTGACCACAGTAAATGCCCAAGGAAGCTCATGCCTGTTTATTTTCACCAACACAGCACATTAAGAATAGCTCACTTAAAAAATGTATGCTGCTCTGAGTGGCTAAATACATGGTGATACTAGTAAAGGAAAGCATTGATATTTCTAAAAAATCTAGTCACTTTTTGAGCACTAATGGGTCTTACCTCCCAACCGACATACTGCACCTTCTGCAAGACAGCAGTCTCTTGGCACTCCTCCAGTTTGAAGTAAAGCCCAAAACGAACTCCTGCTAACGTGGCTTATAGTGAGTCAACCCTTTTTTATTTCCAAGGCCGCCTCAGTTGATCCACAGTACATCCATCTTCATGAAGGTGGCTATTGCAAGCTAGAGTTACAACTTCCTTTTGACAGCGGAATGCACCTCTAAACTCTCTGAATTCAAGTCTGGTAACAACTGGGGGAATGAGGCTAGCCTTGATGAAGAATCAAAGGGCGGTGTGTCCTCCCTAAGCAGATCTCTCTTAAATCCTTTACATACTTTCCTTCATTAGCTAAGCAACTCAGCAGCCACACCCTGCTGACTATGGCTGGACCTCAGTGACTCACATGTGATTTGGGGTGATATGCTTGCGTGCTGGGAGAAACATCAAATTTAGAGAATTTGATATATGAAGATCTTAACAAAGCTACAAGATCAAAAGAAGCTACTAAAACCACTACAGAGAAATGTCAATTTTACATTTTTACTTATCACTCAATCTTCATCAACAAACTTGGTTATTCAAGTAATTCTACTCACTCACTGCCGTGGAGTCAATTAGACTCATATCGACCCCTCCTTGGGTTTCCAAGGCGGTATCTCTACTGAAGTAGATTGCCCAATCTTCCTTCCCAGGAGTGGCTGGTGGGTTTGCACCCCAGCCCTCTGGTTAGCAGTCTAACGCCTTAGGCACTACACCACCAGAGCTCCCATTAAGTAATTAACATGTATAAACATTACCAAAGGCAAGTTGGGCTTTGAAATGGAAGTGTAAATTTACTAACTTAAGAGCAAGCAAGGAGGAGCTTACCTTGCTTATAAAGTAATCCAACACTGAATACATTCTTATTAAAAAAAAAAAAAAAACCTCACTGCCTTTGCTCACTGCCGTGGACTCAATTCCGACTCACAGTGACCCCCTTTGGGTTTCCAAGGCTATAAATCTTTACGGAAGTAGATTGCCCAGTCTTCGTTTGGAGGAGTGGCTGGTGGGTTTGAGCCGCCAACCTTCTGGTTAGCAGTCAAATGCCTTAGGCACTACGCCATCAGAGCTCCTTATACCCTTACAAACCAAACCAAACTCACTGCCATCAAGTGGATTCAACTCATAGCAATCCCTCCTTGGGTTTCCAAGGTATCTCTACCAAAGTAGATTGCCCAATCTTCCTTCCAAGTAGTGGTTTGTTGCCTTGAACCACCAGCCTTCTGGTTAGCAGTCAAATGCCTTAGGCACTACGCCACCAGAGCTCCCTATACCCTTACAGTGGTGGTCAAATAACGTTTAATGATGAGACAAAGGGAGCTTCAAAAAATTTAGTGGTAGGTTATATAAATTGATTGCAGCCCCTATTCAAACAGAGCCAATTTTCAGTAGCCCATGATAATTAATGATGAACAACATGGAAACATTTTATCAATGGTAGATCAAACTGATGGCTTCAACAGTTCAATTTCTGTACATCCCTATGGTTCCTACAAGCCCAAAGACATTTTAATCCAGAACTGGCAAAAAGGAAAGGGCATTAATAAGGTTGGGCAATCCTACTTCCGTAGTGATACTGCCTCGGAAACCCAAGGAGGGGTCGCTATGAGTCAGGGCTGACTCGATGGCACATCACAACAACAACAACAACAAGAGTTAATGTGTTGCAGGGGAAAGATCTTCCACTTTGCAGATCTAGAGCTCTAAATTCAAATCCCACTTCTGCCTCTTGGTAGCAATATAACCTTGAGAAAGTCACTTACCCTCTCTGAATCTCAGTTTCCTTTTTTTCTAAAAAACAGGTAGGGGGTGGGGAGTGGGGACACTGCCAGCTTTGCAGTGGTTCTTGTGAGGTATGGGGATGAGCTACCACAAGTGAAAGTGGAAAGTAACTTGAACTTCCTTCCTTCCTTTGATTTCCTCTGCCCACTTCTCAAGCAGAAACAATCAAGGAAGAAAACAGCTAAACCACAAAAAGGGAAGGAAAAGAAGTGGAGATGAGAGTAGAACTGGATACAACCTTTCTCTCCCATGCCCTTTACCTCCATCAGGAAGGTGTGCGCTGCAAATTTGAGTATTGGGTTTACTTTTAAAAAAATATTTTGGGTGCTCTTGTAACAAAATTTTTAAAAGTTTATTGTGATGAAATATACGTAACAAAAAAATTGCCATTTTAACTATTTTTACATGTAAAACTCCTTACACTCATCATGTTGTACAACCATCACCCCTATCCATTTTCAAAACTTTTCTATCATCCCAAACAGAAACTCAGTGCCGCTTAATTGTAAGAGAATTTTAGTGGTCAGTTTTTTTCAAGCTGAACCATGAGTTGTTTAGTGGCTCAAAGGAATCCCTTAGTGACAAACTAATTGTCATGTTTGTCTCCCATGAGAATATAGATACTACATTGTGTTGTGCCCTTGAGAAAGTAGCTTAAGTTCTGGGAGCTGTTATTAAACTACCCTAAGAAAATCATTAAAAAAAAAAAAAAGGCATAGAACAACTTTCTAAAAAGATAAGAAAACACAGGAAGTTATATTAGAAAATACAAGAAGTTACATTAGAACTCTATGGACTTTTGTTCCTTGAACAACGAACAAAAGTCCACGGGGTTCTAACATAACTTCCTGTGTTTTCTTGGGTTTTTTTAGGAAGTAATTCTAAGCCTGCCACTTTTAAGAAATGACATTCCCATAATAGGCTGGCCTTCGAATCTATCATTTTTAAGGTGTCACAGAAAATGCCACATCACACAATCCTTTAAAAAACAAAAAAAAAAAAACTCTTCCCAGGGTCAAACTCCACAACCAATCAAAATGTTCCACCATATTCCACTTTATAACTTGGGTTATTTAAGTTCAAGAAAATCGCTAGAGAGATGATAGTTCAAATTAGTTTGTCTCTTAGATTTGGGGATTCAGAGAGCAGTCTCTTCCAGTTCCACAAGACTTTAGACCACAGAAAACCCACCATCCCTTTGGTGTTTTTGATTCCTCCAGGACACAAGTTGAGGTGGTTGGGAACGAACTTCCACATCTACTTAAGGGATCACGATCGGGGAAACTGATCAAATTTGGGAAACCGATTACTGAGATGGAAGGAAGAGGTTCCATTCCGTGAGCCGGGTCACCTGAGTGCCCAGTTCCCACACTTTCATTCTTAAACGCACACAGCCTCTTTCTAAATAAATGTAGCTCCCCCAGATTACCACTCCCTGAAGAGACACCCTCACACTACCCTCTGGAGAGCTTTACAATCCATTTAAAACACACAGTATTTCTAAAGGCACCACCGAATGCCTCTTGTTTATTTATTTTTACATTTTCAAATGAATGGAGGAAGTTTTTACTTCCCATCTAGTCTCTTTTGTCCAAAATTGGTATTAGGCACACAAATCAGTTGAGGACAGTATCATTCCTTAGCTAGGATTTTGAACTTAATAAGGGACTCTTCCCCAAGCTTGCGAAGAAAACCTCATTTTTAAATGACACTGTAGGATCTTTTTTTCCTTTCCAGACGAAAAAGCCACCTACAGGGAAAAAGGCCATCCCCTCCTCCCAAGGTACAAAAACACGACCGATCCCCAGCAGCCTGTTTCTGACCCGGCCAATACATTAATGCTTTGTAAGCTGAGAGCAGCGCCCGGAAGAGAAGCGAAGTCTAAACAGCTGAGAAGGATTAGGCGGTACCTCCATTCTCATTTACATGAAAATCTCCTAAGCATCATTTTCCTTGCTGGCTACGGGAGCCTAAGGAACTCTTTTGTGCCATAGCCACGCATACATTTGCATCCTTTGTCTTTACTTACCAGTCGAGGCTGTGGGCAAGTGTGCTCTATTTCCTCCATGGTTTCTGAGGGAGGCTCATTGGAAAGGGATTTTGGGATACCTGTTTCTGACTCAGCATCAGTGGTGAGTACTGGCATGGCCAGCAAACGCTCCCTCCAGCTCTACACTCTGTGAGTCTCCTCGCAGACAGAATGTTTTCTTTGTCACGTATTTTTGTCTTGTCTACCCATCCCCCTTCTTCTTCCCTTCTTTTTGTCTTCCCTGGGGGTAGTAAAGGGGTTTCCCCCCACCCCCTTTCTTTTCCGTAGAAGCCAAAGGCAAGGCCTCAGTTTATCACTATAACAACCAGCCGGTTCTGGAGCAGCGGGTGCGGGATACAGTATCCTCATTTGTATGGAGCGCGCTGGTTGGCTACTGTCATCATAGTACCACTCCGCCGGGGAGCGGCCGCGCCCCATTGGCTGGCCGGCCGTGCCCACAGGGCCTGAACTTGCTGCTTTTGTTTCTTCTGTTTAATTCAGTTGCAAAGGTCTCGGGCCATCCTGGGCAAGGGACCCGGGCTGCACTACCCTGATAAGATAAGCCCGCTTCCTGAGGGGCCCAGGACGGCTCGAGAAACAGGGCAGACCTTCACTGAGAAAGGACCATGTCCTTGGCACAAGTAGAGGATGTGCTGTAGCAGAATAGTTGCCAAACAAGTCACCCTGAAGACAAAGCCACTTTCGAGCCCAAAGCCACGGTGTCCCCAGATGCCGACTGGCTTCGGAGGAGTTCTCAGGACATTCACAGTGGGCATCTGGGTGTTCACCGCCTAGGCTGCACTCAATACTAGAACTAAGAGATTTCCTCGGGCCTGGGGTAGCCCTAGAGCTTCCCCTTGGGGCCGCCCTAGGAGGAGCTTTAGGGGAGATAGTTTGCCTTTGACAGCTTTCCTCCCCGCTCTGACTGCCCTCTTCAGTTGCTTGCTCCATCAGCCACTTCCTCTCCCCAGCTATTCCGAGAGTTCCTCAAGGAAGTTGTGCTCTTGTCTGCCCTTCAATACACCGTTCCATGCACTGGTCTGTTATCCCTCTGCTTCCGTTTAGCAGTCCTAGGTCCCGTTTCCTAAGTACCCTGCTCTCAGACAAATGTTCATGGCAATCAGAGAAACATCCCAGAGGGGATACTAGAGACTGACATACCTTAGTGTCTAAATCGTCTAGGAATATCCGTATTTTAAGAGGGGTGTTCTGAAGACATACCTTCGAAGAAAAGAGCTTTCACAAAGGTATACTTTCTAATGAATTGCCACACTTTTAATTACATTAACAAAAATCATGATAATTGCTAGCATTTATCAAACACAGGTAGAGTATTAAATACTTACTAAAAAAAAAAAAAACCCAAACTCACTGCCATTGAGTCGATTCTGACTCATAGCGACCCCCTTTGGATTTCCGAAGTAGATTGCCCAGTCTTCCTTCCGCAGAGTGGCTGGTGGGTTTGAACCACCAATCTTCTGGTTAGCAGTCCCAATGCCTTAGGCACTGTGCCACCAGAGTTCCTTAAATACTTACTAGATGTTGTTTAATCTTTATAAGACCCCCCCAAAAGGTAGATCCTATTATTATCATTCTCATTTTGCAGGTGAGGATATTGCAATTTAGAGTAATTGCTCAGGGTCTCATAGCTTGTAAGTGGTGGAGAAGGGGTTTAAGGGATTTGTGGGGCAGAGCAGGGATGCAAAACATGTAGTAGAAAAAGTGCTTAGGTAAGAGTCCTCTTAAGACAAGTTCCTGGACTTCTAAATTTTTTGTGTTTATCAATAGCAGTGGTTTTTATCGAAATATGGCCCAGGACCAGCAGTATCAAGGACAGCTTCGTCTGAGAACTTGTTAGAAAGGCAAATCATTGACCGGACGCCAGACCTGTATTTCTGCATTTCCACAAATGTCCTAGTGACGCTAAGATGCAGATCCAGGGAGCACACTTTGAGAACCACTGGTCTAAAGCTTGAGGTACAAATCCCAGCACTGCCTCCCTCATGGAACTGTGGGATTCAAACAAGATAGCAAGTGAAGCATTTTGCAAATTAAGATATACTAGGATAATGTAAAAGGAACTCTGGTGGCACGGTGGTTAAAGTGCTCACTTTCCAACCCAAAGGTTGGCAGTTTGAACCCACCAGCTTCTCTGTAGGAGAAAAATGTGGTAGTCTACTTCCGTAAAGATTTACAGCCTTGGAAACCCTGTGGGGCAGTTGTCCTCTGTCCTATAGGATGGCTGTGAGTCAGAATCGACGCCATTGCAGTAGGTTTGGTTTTGGTTTGGATGATAATATAAGGGGATATTGTTTTATTACTTCTCAAATAAGTAAACAAGGATAGCCCTAAAAGAAGAAGGAAAAAATGGAATGTACAAGCAAAGATTTACACAGTTGGACAGTTACAGCTCCTTCCACTTTAAATCAGACTGACATCACTTGTCAACATTATTACTTAAGCCTGAGGGAATTCCAGTGATTTGTGAATTCCAGTGATGCTTGGGTCACCTGAAAAGGGGCCAGTTTCTTCCTACACCATCTGCCCTCCCAGAAGCACAAAATACCTCAAGCTGTAGATTTACCTCTACCCGTGCTGGGTGATATGGGGGTGAGATTGTTACTCTCATCTCAGTATATGCTGCCTTAGAGCAGTGGTTCTCAAAGTGTGGTCCCCGAAGAGCAGCCCTGGGAACTTGTTAGAAATTCTCATTCTCCATCTCAGAATTACTAAATCAAAAGCTTGAGGATGGATCCCAGGAATCCGTTTATTAACAAATCCTCCAGGTGATTCTGACATATGCTCAGTAAAGTTTGAGAACTATTGCCTTCAAGCCACATGTTTCTATTAGAAAGCATCTAACCTCCTATTTCCCACAGAACTGTCTGGTACCTGCATGGGAAATTTACCTTGTCACCTGCCTATTTAGCAGAGTCCTGATGTTTTGCTGGCTTCTTGTGAGGCCCTCTTGCCCAAGAGCCTGTATCGTACTCTTTTCCTCCTGAGCCAGGCTATCTTCCTTTTCCGCCTCAAAGTGGACAGATGCCCCCTCTTGCCTATCCACATCTTCCTCTGTCCCATTTAACCAAGATATTACCTCTGGCTAGGGATGAATATCTTCATTGTGTCACCCAAGTCAGACCCTTAGCTAGAAATGCCACTTTGTATTGAGTCCAAGTCATACCTGACATATATTCATCCCAAGTCCTTGAACCTCTAGAACTAATTCCATTCCCACTAACACTACTGCAGCCTAGTCTTGGCTTCTTCCCACTTCTCTTCCACAGCCCAGTGGTTGAACCTTAGTAGGTCTCACAGTCCTAATGGCAGAACTAGACTCTTTCAGGCACCAATGTGAGAGAGATCCTTACCAAAGCCACCCAGTCTGATGACCAGAGTGTTGGTTGCTACTGCAGCCCTGTTGGGGAACTTTTCCTTAGTAATATCTGAATGGGTTATTTTAACTTGGAGCACTGCAATACTATCAAGATGAATAGCTAAGAATGACCAGTTAATTCACAGTACAGAATTAAATATTCCACAACCTTCTAAAGTTGGTGGATGGGAGGAGGGTGACTCTAAAGGGATAGTAGGAGGGACTTTAGGATTGATGGAAATAAACTGATTAAATCATTATGATAATGGTTACATGTGGGAATTTATCCCAAAAGAAATAATTAGAGAAGCACACAGATTTATGTGCAAAGATGCTTAATGCAGAATTATTTACAAAAGGCAAAAAAGAGATATAATTTATGGCAACA